AGACAACACAAACACAACCTCGCGTCAGCACCATGAAGCTCATCACCATAGAGTGCCGAAGTTACGATAAATAAACCCTGATAAATAACCCAATCCCTGGGTTGTTACATCTGACCCAGGAGCTGGGTAACACAAAAAATACACACACCCCACGAAAAATAACCCAAGAGAGTGATGGCATGGAGTTTTGGTTCCTTGCCACTGTTGCCTTGGCTTATGGCTTGCTTAGATGAGGACATTTAATATTCAACAATATTATTTATCTGATGTACTTCAGAGACTGAACCTGCGACAACTGAGACTGTTTTAACCTATTCTGTTATTAAATCATTAATAACAGTCTATTAATCAGCAAAAAATCACTTTGGGACTAAGGAATAAACCACCGATAAGAGGATTACACACGGTTATTGCTTATGTTTTGTCTTTTTGTTTCATAAACTATAACCATTCATATTAATAAGGTAATATGTTAAAAACACAGTGTGTGTAGCACTGATCTGAGAGCTGTGTTTGTGCCGCTGATCCCGGATCAGTGCGAGTCACAGCTGACACACTGAATTAGGCTCCTGAAGAACAGCACTAATACCTATTGTCCTCACGCCTGCCCTGATTGGTCCGTTTGAACGCCACGAGTCACGTGACCTCCTCGCTCTCTGCTGATTGATGTGTGGAGGCCTTTTTATTTGATTCAGTTCTAATGTGCTGATTTTAATGGGTTTTTGACCTCAATCTCTTATAAGCATTTCCAAGCCCAGACGAAGATTAGCGGAGGGAGATTATGATTTTAACCAGCAACAGAACAACAAAACAAGACCTGCATTGTGACCCGGCGACGGCAGACGGGACTCGGACTCGTTCTCCAGCACTAATATCTAACCATTCTTAAATCAAGACACATTTACTGGACTGAAGATATTAAGACTGAAAAATGTATTAAAATGAAGTGAGTTTGTGCTCAAAACGAGAACAAATATCTGACAATGGAGTCAGAAAAGTAAACTGAATTCAAAGGGAAACTAGATCATGTTTCAGGCATTTCTTTAGTAGTTTTGCTTCTCCAGAAACACTGGGAAAGAAAGGAAAACTGTCCTCAGGTCAGCTCGGGTCGGTTTGATTGGATGTGAAGAAAGGCTGATTGGTCTCAGTGAAGAAGTGAAAGAGCTGTGAGAGTGTGTGTGGATTAAACACCCCTCACTGTTCGCACCCTGCCCACACACACACACACACACACACACACACTTTTCTTTCTGCTGTTTCTCTCCTTCCGTCTGTAATCTGAGATTTCCCCGTGGAGTCAGTCTGTCCATCAGACCTGCATTACTGCTCAATGCCATTACTGTACACAACAACAACAGCCTAAAGCACACACACACGTCTGCAGATACTGACACACACATCTGTGCATTTTTACATTAGGCATGTCAGTGTTTAATGTTCATTCCTGTTAGACATTTAAAAGAGTGGCAGAAACAAGCCTCCACAGAAATGTTGCAGTACTCGAGCAAACTACTCCTTTATGAGAGGAACACGAGTCGTTGTGAGCTTCAGCTTCTCTTCAGAAGAGAGAGAGAGTGTGTGTGTGTGTGTGTGTGTGTGTGTGTGAGTGAGAGAGAGAGACCCGCTCAGAGCCGCTCATGAAGAACCAAACACTGCATGAAGCTGCGCTGCTGAGCAATTACACTGCACACGAGAGACGAGTGTGTGTGTGTGTGATGGGTAGGTTTAGGGGTTGGGTTAGTATGACAGAGAGAGAGTGTGTGTGTTGTTTGAGTGTGTGTGCCAGGACTCTTGAGATTATGCAAATGTTGAGCAGGATTTGTAGTGTGTGTCTCCGAGTTGTTTTGAATTCTCACACTGCAGATTTATTATGATCATCATGTTCTCAGTCACACACTTCAAACAAACCAACATTATGACTTTATGTACAGTCTCTGTGACACACTGTCCATCACCACAGAAAACCATTTCCACTCGTCTCTCGTGTGTAACACAAACAAAATACACAAATCTGTTAATACAAACTCTGTTCCACACTTCGGCACACGCGCTTGGGGACGAGTCGGCCCGTATCTGTGTATCGCTCCAGGGCATCCGTGCGCTAAACCATCGACTAGAGACGAGTGATAATATATAAAATAAAAATAAATAGATAAATTGACAAAACAATAAAAACAAAAAATTGGGAAAAATATAAATACTTTAAATTATACTGATGCTCCATATTGGTGACATGGGGCTGTAAATGTTTACTGGGACGAGTTTCTGAGGTGATGGACAGACGTCATCATCAGGACGGCATCCTCTCTACGCTGGTCACTTCTCCTAAATCATCTGTCACAGGGGTCACACAGAGGTCATGCGGAGTGCAGTGGTGCATGATGGGAAGCCATGAACGGAACATTCCAGAGCTGAGTTTCTGGCTGAACTTAAGGAGCCTCACACTCTCTTACTGAAGATAAAGACGAGAACAACGACCCCACAACACACACACACACACACACACACACACTAAACAGACCGTCTTTGTCCTGTGCGTCCCCCTCCTCAGAGATCCCACACACACACACACACACTCTCAGGGATGCACATATCTGCCACCATAACGTTATCGGGCGATAGGAAAATTTGAGACTTTAGTTTTTGTAATCAGGCTCTAAAAACTTAAATGTGGATTTAGATTAATCGGCTAATATATCGGTTATCGGCATCGGACACGTTCTTCATATCGGTGCATCCCTATGAACATTTATTGATTGTTCATTAAGTATATGTGTGATGAACTATAATGCCAACACTGACCTGTAGATTATCCTCATAACATAAACAGGAAACACATCACCATCTAACAGACCAATCAGGAGGACCGAAACACTCATAGCAACCACAACTCATTCTTAAATATTAATGAGCCTACCATCCTATTAATGAGGCCCAAAAGATATATTATAATTACATGCAAATCAGAACCAGACCCTTTGAAGCCGAAATGATGTAAAACAGGAATAATGAAGTGAACATCATCAAGCATTAATCAGGATCATCTGGAGACTATGAACACACACACACACACACACACACACCCGTTTATAAACACGATCTTGAAATGATCTCGTGTACTGTAGGAATCAGATGAGAGTCTGAGCTCTGGTGAATGCCGTCATTATTATATAATATCTGTGTATCTGTGTGTGTATTTGGCTCAGCTCTACGCTGACAGCTCAGTTTCATATCATCATCTCAAATCTGTGCAGTATTTTTAGACTGAAACACTCAAAGCGTGCAGGAGAGGAGGACGTCTACATGAAAGTGTTTCTGGAGTGAGGAAAGTAGGGCAGACGAGCACAGATCCGCTCCTGACTCTCACAGATGAGGATTATATTAATATGACACATGATTCTTCAGAGGAATGACGTCACGACTCCACAGGCCCCTGTGTGTGTGTGTGTGTGTGTGTGTTATTGTTATCTTCATGCAGAATACCCAGCATGCCTCAGCAGCCCACGGTGGCATTCACATCCCACGACACACTTCTTTCCCATGAGCATCATACACTGCCGTCCGTCACACACACACACACACACGTGTCTGTGGCCTCATCCAATGCGGCCCATCTGCCGGTTATGGATCGCTGGGAATCTGAAATGAGCTCATAATTAAACACATCGGCTCTGCCAACACTGAACACAGCAGTCCCACACTGTCCCAAACACTGTCTCAAACGCTGTCCCACACACACACTGTCCCAAACGCTGTCCCACACACACACTGTCCCACACACCCTCAGACTGAGTCTCTCACCATGACGGTTGAGCTGCTATTGAAAAGCTCAGACGCAACAGACAATGACCCGGCACACTCATTAGCATTGTATTAATTGGGAGATGTGACCCAGTAATGGAATGCTGTGTGTTTGTGTTTGTGTCTGTGTGTCTCTGTGTGTGTGTGTGGGGGGGGGTCCCCAAAAGTTAGCAAAACATGACCCCATTTGGAAATGGCTTTGTTAAAAAAATTATACATAGGACTGTGTGTGTGTACTGTATATATATATATATATACACACACACACACACACACACACACACATTTATAGCCTACAGTATGTGTTTGTATATATTACATGCATTATCAAGTCAAGTCACCTCTATATAGAGCTTTTTAAAATACGGTTGAAAAAACAACAGTTTCAAAGCAGTTTTACAGAGAAAAGGCGATCCATTGCTTTCTCCTAAACCTTGTTTTTCTAATCAGAATAAAGAACTACTCATTTGAAAAATCTACTCATCAAATGTGAGAGTTTATATATATATATATATATATATATATATATATATATATATATATATGATTATCTCATATAATTGTATGAGTAGCTTTTTATATGAATCTTTTTCTTCTATTCTGATTAGAAGTTACTAAATTACTTCGACCCGAGGGAACGTTTAAGTCAAGTTTATGAAAAACCATCGCTCTAATCCTGGACCCGGGCCATAATTTAAATAACACCTTTGGCTTTCAAATTAAATCTAAAAAAAGAAAAAAAAAAAAAAGAGTCTGTCATTAAACGCAAATAATCGGATATAATCTGATTCAAACCGCGCGCGCTCCCGCGCCGCACCTGCTCGCGTCACCTGAACACATCCAACTACTACAACATTATCATCACATTACACAACATAACACTAAACAACACAACATAATAGAGTATTACAGAAATTGTATTTCATTACAGACTGTCTCTGTCTGACACTTAATACATTAACAAACGAGACAAAATAAGAGAGAAGTATCGCCTGAAACCGTCACATCTGCAGTACAAGAGAGGATTTTACCTCATAAAATAACATATCTCACATTATTTACCTCACAATCATGTGGAAAACGAGAATTTAGCGATTATAACCCGTTTATAGCGTTTGACAGCGGCGCGTTCCTCCGCACAAAACTCATGAATCACGCGATTAAACCGAAATATATTATAAGAAACATCCGCTACTGACCCAATGAAACCCGCTCGGTCCTGGTCCTGGTCCTGGTCCTAGTCCAGATGCTGGTGCTGATTCTGGCCCCGGTTCTGGTCCGGTCTGCGGTACTGTGACTGTCTCTGTCCTGCGCTGTGACTGACTGGACTCTTCGCGCGCGAGCGCTCCTCTCCAGTAATGCCCGCGGATCTCGGTCGCGCGCAGAGCTCTCTCAGGTACGCGCAGTGCTCCAGCTCCACCAGCCTGAGCTGACGAGCTTGTTTTGTGGTTTCCCACTGGATGCGCGGTGGGACGAGGCAAAACATGTCTGGAGATTTCCCAGAATTCAATTTAAAATAGAGTAGCTCTTAGATCGGTCCCGGATCACTCTTAAACTAAGACTCCTACATAAAAGTTTTTTAAGCTAAATTAAGAGGATTCTTATTAGATCTTTATGAATACTGGCACTGGGGTTTGCCCTGTATCCGTAAATATGATGTTCCCTTTTAAAATAGGTAACCCTTTCTTAACTAACTATGAATATATATATATATATGAAACAGAATGTAATAACGTAACTGAAGTGTGTTGACTGAAGTGTGGTGACTGTTAACAGTCACTTTAACAGAAACTCTCTTTTTCTAGACTGTAGTGAATCTGAAGCTGTTGTTTGAGGTCACAGACCGAATGAAGCTCCTAGTCTCATCTGAGTGGACACACACTGAAGATGCCAGTGCATTAGACTGTGTTCTGTCTGTGACCACTGATGAAAGTCTTGCATCGTGAGTGCATTTTTTTGTCTCAAGTTGACTTCAAACTGTAAGGTTTATAAGGAAATCGTGTTTTTATTGCAGTGATTTTAATGCTAATATCTCCATGTGAAGTTCAGCAGAAAAGCTTTTATTGACACCAGCCTCAGCAAACGACTCGTTTTTCAAAGTGGGGTTTATTTTTTATGAAAAATGCACAATAGGCCTAATGATATATGCAATTTTTATATGATATAGGCTATATATTTTTCAAAACAAGTTTTACTCTAAAATTACGAGCAAATCAAAGCCATTACCATAAATCTACAAGTTGTGTTACAAATTTGAAATTTGAATTTGATATCTCAAAAAACAAAAAAACAAAAAAAACTCTTCAGTAAGATTTTGTTTGGGCGCAATACCAAACATTTCCACTTGATGAAATTCCTTTCCCATTAATTTTTAATGCACGCGGAGTGGACTGACCATAGCCAGAGACGGGGAAAGAAAGGGACCGACTATTTCTTTCAGGAGTCAGGACTATTCAACCTTTTCGAATTATGTTCATGTTTTATGATCTCATACAATCTCACATACGTTGATGATGGATAGTAAAGACATTGAGACGCAGGGCAAGTTTCGTACGATTCCGATGAAGAAAACAAACAAACAAAAAAACTAGATTAAGTAAATTAACTGCTTGCATTCCCATATTATTATCAGCATTATTATTTCACTTTTTAATTATTGTCTTTGACCGCTGTTATTATTATTAGCAAAGTATTCCAGGAGATTTTGGTAATAGTTGATTAATGATTTAGGCCTACCAATGAATGAATAAAAGAGCAATCTCTAAGGCTGTGTTTACACAGAAACGATTCTGAAGAGAAAACGCTAAAGTGGCGTTGCGTCATCACTTTTTATTCTGCGTTTAGACGAGCGTTTTGGGTGGGAAATCCGCGTGCAGATGGTGACGCAAAACTGTGTGAAATTCACTGTAGTGTGCACTCCAGGCGGCTAAGCGTGCATACTACAGCAACACCGAGCCCGCGCGCCTGCGTAACCTTCACTGTCAAGCAGACCTTCGCGTTTTTACCGTTTACACGGGAGCGCGGCGGGGGAGCGCTTTAAAGATTTCCGGAGGGTGGTTTCACTTTTTTGCATTTTTAAGCCCCAAAAAGGTTTGTGCAATGAATCGAGATGGTTTTTATTGTTGTTGTTGTGGCCGTTTCTCAATAATCTCTGTCTGTCTGTCTGGAGTACTTGCACCACGCCTTCACCACACGGCCCTCAGACAGCGACAGCAGGAGCGAATCCAGAAAACCTGGTCAGTTCAGTCTCTTCACAAGAAAATTTTCTCTCAAAAAATTAATAAATAAAATTGTAAATAAATAAATCTTAAATAAATGGTAAATTGTTAATGCCAACAATAGTACAACTCCTGTCTTTCCATGAACACAGGGAAGACTTCAAGACCCGGCAGTCCTTATAAAGCTAAACAGGGAACCGTTAAACCCCACAGGACATCACCACGGCCTGCATGGTCCTGATTCTCAAAATCCCTTTCACTTACATGTTCTGATCTAACCGTCAGTACAAGATATGGCTGTAGGTCACAACATGAAACACTGATGATCAACAAAACATAAGAGATTGTCCCATGAACACCTCAATAATCTGCTGGATAATTCCACAAGCTGAACCGCAGCCACTCGTCATCATCCGACCCGGAGTCCTCACACGAAGCTCGATTCGCTCGCAGAAACATCATCGGGTAGGTTCAGCTGAGAGTGAGAAGCACAAGAAATAAAAGCATTAAAAAAATACAAGACTTAAGGATGAATGCCTTCTTTTTTTTTGCACCAAAATCACACCGAACCATGATATCTGAACCGAAATGAGACTTCTGTGTACAGCCAGAGAATGTCTAATTGAAGAGAATTGGCACTGGCTGGTTACTTCCGGGTTCTGGACTGGCTGCAGTAACGCGTCTCTGTCCATGCGGGGGCGCTCGCGGTCGAGTGCCGAATGAATGGGAGTCAATGGGGTTTCACCGCCAGAAATCCACTTTTCTCAGGATGTAATTTTTTGTCAAGTAATTTGAAAGTTGCATTCAAAATGGAGGGCTAAGATAATACACTCAGCAGAAAACTGCATTTTTAAGTTCACTTATCTGTTCTAAAAATCCGTTCAAAACTGTGATGATGTCACACAATAGCAGAATGCTAGCGTGATCCGGCCAACAACAGCCTAACCTGTAAGACATCAAAAGGACATAAGTACTCGTTCATTCGTCTTTTGGCCTATAATCTATATTGAACTTGCGGAATCAACAATAAAATCTATGTTGATTTAACGACAAGCAGGTGAAAGAGACACTTTTAGCCGTTTAGCCCCATAGACTCCCATTCATTCTGCTCTCGCTCGCGATCACCCCCAGTGGAATTATAATGGAACTGCAGCCAGGATGATCCACAACGGGGCTAATAGGAAGTGCCAAGGCTCTCCGTTAGACGGGCTCTGGTACCGTTCCACCCAGAGTAAACACTCCAGTAAACGTACTCCAGTTTTTCAGTATGATTTAAAATAAAAATATACTTATTAAGATGACTACTCTATAATGGACGAAACCCGACTCACCGTGGCTACAGGCCGTACAGGAGCGCTGTGAGCTTCAGTCGTTCCCTCAGCGTCTGCACGAGTGTCTTCTCTCGGGTCAGCTCGCCCACGGCTCGGCTCAGCTTCTCCTGGTTCCTCTGCAGATACTCCTGCGCCTCGCTCTGCAGCTGACACAGCTTCTCGTGCCGGCTCTCGTCTAGAGACACGTCCTCGCTCAGGAACGGGTTCAAGCGGAAGTACGTGTTGGGCGGCAGCAGAGCGTCCAGCATAGTGTGCACTTCTGAGAGAGAGAGAGAGAGAGAGAGAGAGAGAGTGTTTAATAGCATCTGCACTGTGCTTTATGAGCTTGATAAACGAACATTATAAATGACTAAATCTACATCGGGTGTCTATGGCCAAGTTGCACATTTAACTTTTTGTAAAAATTGCAATATTGCATTAAACATTCAGTGAATAAAGCACTTGTGTTCAAGAGAACAAAATCATAATTTAATGGGAATCGTATATCAATAATAACAATGTTTTTTCCAAAATGATATTATAATTAATGTGCATGTTTTCATATCAGATGAAATAATTATCAGTCTCAATTAAGTGCATGCATTTTAAGATTTTATGCACGTGTGCAAATTTTAAAAGAAAACTATTATATTTAAAGGTGTTTAAAGGAGTTCTTCATGCGCGCGTGATCAGATGCACTGGAGGAAGGGCGCTAATCTTGCATTTATTAATAACCTGCGTGATCGTGTTTAATCTCCAGCGCTGCTGTATGAACGCTGCATCACTGAGACACTCAGCAGAGAGAGTTATGGGTAATCTGCACCAGAGTGACGGCTGTCAATCATCCGACATGTCATGTGACAACCTATAGAGTGTGTGTATTGACGTCAATTTCCCGCAGGACTAATTTTAACCTCTAAAAAGATAATAGCATGTGAGTAACAGTGTGTGTGTGCGTGTGTGTGTGTGTGTAACAAACTGATCGTTGTACAGCCAAGTTACAAATTAAATAAGAACGTCTATTCTAATTTCCTTTTCCTTTTTAAGATGGTTGAAAACAGAGTTCTTGGAACATACTGCAAGTTCAAAATCTCCTTCCGTGTATTTCACACAAAACATACACACAAACAATAATACACCACAACAATATAAAGCCCGTTGTATGAGAGTAAGTGTGTGTGCATAAGTCCAAAGGCAATGTCTATAGTCCCGCGTGTGTGTGTGTGTGAGTGTGTGTTAAGATCAGCCTCACCAGAAGGAATGTCAACACCGTGAGCGTGATCAAAAGCGGGGATGACAGGCTTAAGTCCTCGAAAAGTAATCCTGGCAACGAGCCAATAGAAGTTCTCCACTGAGGAACGGCGAGTCGGCGCTTCTAAGACCATCGAACCCGGAAAAATCCACATAAACACCGGCCGGTTTTGTGAATGAGAATACGCTTCTCTCGAACATTAGTTTTCCGGTTCCTTTTATGGCAAACTAAAAGTCTTTTCCTGTTTACCTGTGACCAACGCCCACGTGACAAACGTCATCACATGTTCAAGCGCGCACAGAAATTGGGATGCAAATACAGTACAATAGCAAGGCATTCAGAGTAAAGAGTAAAGTAGAAAAAGTTAGGAAATTCCCGTGACTAAACATTAAATAATAGTCACTAACCATATCTGAACTTTCCTCCTATGTGGCCACGCTACATAGATCCCCCCCCCAGCCTTCGGCATAGGTGGAGATTGTCCGTACCAGCGCTTTAGATTAACCACATTTATAACATCTGTTTTAAGTGGACTGCCCCAACTCACTGTGTAATTTATTGGCCCCATCCTTTTTAAAATCTCAGCTGGACCCTCCCACTTGGGCGCTAGCTTGGCAGCGAATTTAGTGGCGGCAAACGAGAGAGGGTGAGTCCTAATCCAGACTAGATCTCCCGGCTTGAATTGCGCATCCTTCCGTCGGGCATTATAATATCTAGCTTGTCTGGTTTGTTGTACCCCAACTCGGAGTTTTACCTCCTCTGCCATCTTGTTTTGACGTTCGACTAGAGTATAGGAAACTTGGTCAGGCGTGGGGGGTCTAAGGATCAACCTCTCCAGAGGTCCATTAAGCTGACGCCCCAACATCAACTCCGCCGGAGCTCTACCGGTGGTCTCTTGGTGAGCTGTATTGATGGCGAACCTTAGCTCCGGTAACCACTGATCCCACGTCTGATGATATTGTCCTACATAGGACGCAATCATGGTCTTTACTGTCCGGTTGACTCTTTCAGTCAGGTTAGTTTGCGGATGATAGCTGGTAGTGAGTTTCTGGATGCTTCCCCAAGACCGACATAGTTCCGCTAGCACCTTGGATGTAAATTGTGCTCCTCGGTCTGACACCAGGTATTTAGGCACCCCCCATCGGGTAAATATTTCTTCTCTGAGTATTTTAACTACTTTCAGCGTCTTGCTATCTCGCAGGGGGAACAACTCCACCCACTTTGTGAAATAGTCAACAATCACTAGCAGGTATGCGTTTCGTTTCTTACTCAGAGGAAATGGACCCATGAAATCCATCCCCAAAGTGTGTCCTGGTTCATTAACCTGGGTATGCTGTAGGAAGCCACTTGGTCTTGTATTTTCATGTTTATATTTTTGACATATTTCACATCCTTTGACATACTGCCAAACATCCTTACGGACCGACGACCACCACGCTACTTCTAATAGTCGCAGCAAGGTTTTTAGTCGGCCTAGATGTCCTCCCAGCGGGTTATCATGGAAGTAATGTAAGAAACCTGGTATCAGCTCCTGCGGCACAACCAACTGGAACCGCTCTCCATCATTCTTGATTGGGATGCGCCGATATACCACCCCCTGGTGTTCTACGAAGGTAATCCTTTGATCTTGCCTCTTACTATTCTGGGGATTCCCCAGCAGGAGAGCAATATTACTGTCTCGGCTTTGGGCCTGCGAGATTTCTCCTAGAGTGTGAGGTATGTCGGATACATATCTGGGAGGGGTTATAGTCATACAGTGTGCACTGTCTCTTTCCAACGGCCCATAAGCTCGAGACAAGGCATCTGGTCCCAAATTAAGACATCCTTTCCGATGATGCACTTGGAATGTAAATTGCTGCAATCTCAGAGTCCATCGAGTTAACCGGGAAGATGTCTTTGGACAATTAAAGGCCCACGTTAAAGCAGCATGATCACTGTAAATGTCAAATGGCCTTCCTTCCAGGTAATGTCTCCATTTTTCCACTGCCCAGACCACCGCTAGACACTCTTTTTCCGAGGTAGAATAGTTTACCTCTGGTCCTCTCAAGGTTCTTGAGGCATAGGCTATTACTCTCTCCCCTTCAGAGGTAAGCTGGGAGAGAATAGCTCCTAGGCCCACATCGCTGGCGTCCGTGTGAACCTGGAATGGTAGATTGAGGTCCGGCTGCATTAGGACAGGTGGGTCTTGCAATTTCCGTTTGATAGTCTGCAGACTGGTTTGGCATTCTGGAGTCCAGTCCCATTTTACTCCTTTCTTCTTTAGATGGTTCAGGGGCGCAGTGATGTCAGCGAAGTGTGGAATGAATTTGTGATACCATCCAGCTAATCCCAAGAAGCGTTGGAGGGCTTTAAGATCTTTGGGCGTGGGATAATCTGACACCGCCAGGGTCTTTTCAGGATCCACTTCCACCCCTTTCTCCGACACGATGTGTCCCAGGAATTTTAACTGTCGTTTAAAGAAGTGGCACTTCTTCATGTTGAGAGTAAGTGAAGCCTGATGAAGTCTGTGTAGAATGGCATTCAGGTGTTGTACATGCTCTTTTATTGTCCGGGAATATATTATAATGTCATCAATATATACAAAGCAAAACTGCCCTCTCAATTCTCCTAAGACTTTTTCCATCAGCCTCTGGAAAGTGGCTGCAGCATTTCTGAGTCCATAAGGCATAGAACGAAATTGGAACAGCCCCTGGGTGGTGATAAAGGCTGTTTTATTCTTACTTTCCTCCTCCATTTCCACTTGCCAGTATCCTGATTGCAAATCCAATGTTGTGAACCATGAGGCGCCTTCCATGGATTCAAGGATGTCATGAATGAGAGGCATCGGATATGCGTCAGGTATGGTCTTACTATTCAACTTCCTATAGTCGATGCAGAACCTGTAGGACCCATCCGGTTTAGGGACCAGGACTACGGGAGACGACCATGGGGAGCAGGAGGGCTCGATAATGTGGTCTCTTAGCATCAGACTGACTTGCTCATCAATTATTTTTTTTTTCAAAGGCGACACTCTGTATGCCCGAGATCTAACAGGCAGCTCATCACATAGTATGATCTTGTGTTGTTCTACCGATGTTTTCCCGAGCAGCTGGGAAGTGGTGTGAGGCCAGGTCTCAATCAGCTTCAGTAACTCTTCCTGATTGTCGGAGTCCCATCTAGGAGTAACTTCCACATCAGGCGAAGCGAGAGAGAGATGTCCTGTAGAAGGCAAGGCATAGTAAAGACTCACGGTCGCAGAAGTGGGTTTTCTCTCTCCTACTGGTATCGTAACACCTCCAGGATTTATGGTAGTCGTTATAAAAGAATGATACATATACCCCTTGCCCACTTTCAGACCATATCTCCCTTGGCCTACATCCACTACAGCTTCAGTGGCTCTGAGGAAATCCAAGCCTGCTATCAGGGGAAATGCCAAATGAGCATCCTTCATGATATATGTATCCACCCCACATACTTTCTCATGCCAATTGTAACAGATGGTTTTCTTATTGAATGCTTGATGTATCTTCCCGTCTGCCATAATGAACTGCTGAAGAGGTACCAGAGGGTTAGCACTTGGTTCACCCCCTAACTGTTTCCACAGACTTTCTTGCATTAGGGTGTAAGTGCTCCCAGTATCTAGTACAGCCTTCACCTCTTTCCCTTTTATTGTTACCGGGACTACTAACAGGGAACTTATAGGGTGTGGTTGCGCAATGGATAATCCTGCTAGACTTTTAGAGTTATTCCGTTCACTTGGTCTTTTATTGGCCTTTTCCTTCCCATTCTGACAATCCACCTTCTGCCAGTAATCCTTAACTCCCATGCAGTCTTTTTCCACCATTGAACCCACTTTTACCAGTTGTTCCACTGTCTTCACCGTTCCCCTCAAACAGCCTGCCACCCTGGGATTCGTGTTGTTAAGGATGCGGCTCACCATCTCTTCTTCAGCCATATCAGGTTTCCACTTAAGACAGAGGGCTCTGTAATCATAAGCGAAATCTCTTAGGCGTTGACGCGGCAGCTGCACCAGAGACCGCAGCTTATCCTCCACCTCAGCGAGGTAATCATCTGGAAGAAACGCATCCATAAATGCCTCTTTGAACGATTGCCAATCAGTCACCTTGTTCCTCTCAGCCTTCCACCAACTCAGGGCAGGTCCTTTAAGAACCGTGCTCAGGGTGCCGACCAGTTCCACACTTGGAAGGGGTCTGATGTTAAGATAGTTCTCACACTGTTCAATAAAGTTGAGCACTTCCGAAGTCTCAGAAGACTCTCCAAACGTCGGAAACTCCAACCGAATTGGGGGCCGGCCACTGAAAGATGAGACACTGGGCACCACTGGAGGGGTAGGCACATTAGATACAGGATTATTTACAGAGGTTACATCATAAGTAGCATTGCCTGTCTGGGCAGTGGGAAAGTTAACACTAGATGTAAACGTGGTCTTTCTATAATCATGAATCGAAGATATGGGAGTAGTTGGTGAATAGGGCTGTAATCTAGACAGATAAGAAGGTGTACTGGAAATTCGCAGCTTTTTCAATTGATTCTCCCATTTTGCATCTCTTCTGAGAAAACAATCAAACACCGCTCTCTCCAACTTTTCCTGTGATTTGCGGAAAAATTCTTCCAAATCTGCCAAGCCAGCGTCCACTGCCTCACGAAAACTAGTTTCTCTATTAATCGAACTGTCCACTGCCTGCTTACAATCATTTTCATTTGTTTGTACTCTAGCACTAAGAGCCAATAAATCCACTTTAAGTTTATCAACTTCAGTTTGCATTGTTTGTAACACATTCACATTCAATACACTGCTTTCCTCATCATCATCATCCTCATCATCAGATTTTTCCTCATCATCAGAAATATACAATGAGCTAAGCATAGATGTTATTTCACCGGTAGGATTACGTCTAGTTACAAACGGACCAGCAGTGAAATCTGCAGCTGTTACACCCAAACTCATTCTTGAGTCTGGAGCACCAGCATCAGAGTTATTGGTATTTACAACTTGTATATTTTCATTAGCATTTCCATTCGGAGATTTCATTCCATCATTTACATTTATCTCTTCATCCATAACCAGGAACAACAAAGAAACAATTTCACAAAAAAAAAAACAGAACGTCCCCGTACGGGCCACCACTATGTAACAAACTGATCGTTGTACAGCCAAGTTACAAATTAAATAAGAACGTCTATTCTAATTTCCTTTTCCTTTTTAAGATGGTTGAAAACAGAGTTCTTGGAACATACTGCAAGTTCAAAATCTCCTTCCGTGTATTTCACACAAAACATACACACAAACAATAATACACCACAACAATATAAAGCCCGTTGTATGAGAGTAAGTGTGTGTGCATAAGTCCAAAGGCAATGTCTATAGTCCCGCGTGTGTGTGTGTGTGAGTGTGTGTTAAGATCAGCCTCACCAGAAGGAATGTCAACACCGTGAGCGTGATCAAAAGCGGGGATGACAGGCTTAAGTCCTCGAAAAGTAATCCTGGCAACGAGCCAATAGAAGTTCTCCACTGAGGAACGGCGAGTCGGCGCTTCTAAGACCATCGAACCCGGAAAAATCCACATAAACACCGGCCGGTTTTGTGAATGAGAATACGCTTCTCTCGAACATTAGTTTTCCGGTTCCTTTTATGGCAAACTAAAAGTCTTTTCCTGTTTACCTGTGACCAACGCCCACGTGACAAACGTCATCACATGTTCAAGCGCGCACAGAAATTGGGATGCAAATACAGTACAATAGCAAGGCATTCAGAGTAAAGAGTAAAGTAGAAAAAGTTAGGAAATTCCCGTGACTAAACATTAAATAATAGTCACTAACCATATCTGAACTTTCCTCCTATGTGGCCACGCTACATGTGTGTGTAGTTATGAGTGAGTAAGAGTGGAGTAACCCTCGGTGTTGGTGGCGCTGCTGATGACGTTGTTGAGTTTGGTCTTCAGGCTGGTGAAGGAGACGCTGTTGCTGCCGCTGGCGCTCTCGAAGCGGCCGGTTCCCAGAGACACCACACACTGCAGCGGGACGTCCGGCCACAGACACTGGCACTCGTGGATGGCCAGAGCCGTGGGGTTGTTGATCAGCATCCCACCGTCCTGCACACACACATTAACTCTATGAAGATAGCGAATCAGATTAGGCTTCTCTGATAACCCCGTCGATCTCCTCCAGTCCTTCTGTGATTGGTCGATTAGACTTTATCAAGTAAAAGTCCTTCAGGAGGATTGTACAAACTTCAGCTCATGCTTCTCGTGTCTTTCTTTAATCTTTAATATTGTTAGTAATATTTCAGCAGGTTTACTTGATTATCATACATCCTTAATTTAAATAATCATGATTATTAGAAATGATCCGGTTCAATAAACGGTTAAATCTCAAAACAAATATATTTTTCTGGCTATTACTTCACTCGTCAGGCTTTACAGGATTAATAATGATCCAAACTATGTATTTTAAAGAATATTCATTTAAACAGTAAACCTCTGTTTGTCAAAAAAAAAACAACAACAGAATAGTTGCATTTTCATTTAAACAATTATTAAATTGTTAATGTTTTATGACTTTGCTTGATTACCACCGTTTTTGATAATACATTTTAATTAAATCCAGGAAAATTAAAGGATTTCTGAAAGGCTTATTCTGAAAAATGATTGTACTTTTTTTAAATAAAGAATCAAATACTTAGCTTAAAATCATTAGACATGCTTTTTGATTATTAAAATTCAATTAAGAAAACCTGCAACATTTTAAACATGGGGAAAAATTCAACATTTCTTTTGACTGAAGTAACTAAGGATGTTAACTCTTGACACTGAAAGTGCAGATCGCAGGAATCTGAGTCACAGTGCTCAGTTCAGCATGACATCATCAGTTAGACACCTGTCAATCACAGTAATGACGAATCACATCACATCCTCTTCATAAACTATCACGATCCTCCTAAATCTCAGCAGAAACTCTTGATTGCTTTCTGATGATGTCATCAAGACCGTGTGGGCGGGGAATTAATATTAGCCAATAACATTCACAATCCAATCAAATCCTGATAAAATATACTGAGTTTGACTCTGGGATACGCCACTGTCCAGACATTAAGTGAGTGTTTGATGTCTGTTGTCGCTCTCAGTCTCATACAACACTTCTGAGGCTCACAGAGATCATCTTCCTTCAAGTGTTCGGCAGGTCAAAGGTCACGCGGCCTGCTAATGTCACTCTCTGTTAAACGGCAACATCAAGCAGCCAAACACGGCCGGGTCAAAGGTCAATGAGGTCGAGCGAGATAGAGGGCCATTCTGATAAATAAAACACATCCGACTTGATTCAGTCTCAACATGAACGTCCTGGAAACATCTCACTGTGTTCATCAAGAGTGTGTTTATATCAGCTTATATCAGTGTCTCGTTCTCCAGCACACACACACACACACACACACACACACACATCTAAACATTCTTCCATCACTCACTGAGGATATTCAGGCTTGCTTACAGAATAACGCATCAATTCAGTCTCTCTTCTCTCACATGCTTCATCAGCTCTACTGGCAGCTCCTCTGAAGCCTGACTGCAGAGGTCAGAGGTCACGGAGGCGTAATTGGATAATGAGGCGTAATGACCTCTCCTGACCTCGAGTCACAATGACACGTCAACCACAAACTCACTTCATTACGATGCATTATTCCGGAAACAGGCTTCATATCTCCAGCGACTGTTTGACGAGACAGAAACACACACACACACACACACACACACACACACACACAATGAACGAACACAAGAGCTGTTGTGCTGCAGTCTGTGTCACACACACACTCGACACCTGCCTACCCATAACTCCCTCTGACACGAGTAGAGACTGAAGGAGTCACAGCGGAGTTTTACATATTCCATTTGCAACATACACACACTAATCTAAATGAACACGGATCTCTATAGTGTCGTATAGTGAGTGGAACAACAGCACATGTGGGCGGGGCTTGATTGTGTGAGTGGGGAATTGATTGGATGGTTGTGGTTTGCTATTGGCTGATCTCATGTGAGTGACAGGTTATAGCCCCGCCCTCGGCAAGAGGACGTTATTGTGAAGGGAAGTGTGTGAAGAGTGTCACCTGGTGCAGGTCGTGACCCAGAGCGAACTCCTGGAAGTATCCGGGAGCAGCAGAAGACGCCCGGATCGCCTCCCAGAGCCGGTGCCGGCAGCCGCCGCGGTAATGAGACAGAGCCCCGACCGGCAGCGTGTAGTTCCTGAACACATACGCCTTCACTGGGGGACCGTGGTTCACTACTGTACTCACCGCCGCCACCTGGTGGAGGAACATCACACTGCTGATATCACACACACACACACACACACACACACACACACACACCTTCCATGCTATTCACTTCACTTTCCCTCAGACTCTTTATGTCAAAATTCTGATAGTTATAAATTAGTATGTCATAAATTGGACTTTTGACTGAAAATATGTCATAAATAAAATGTCCATCCCATAATCATGACTATAGTATGATTATACCTATACCATAATTTCACCTTATGACAATTAAATGTAAAAGTCCCAATATTTTTTATGTCATAAGTTCAACTTTTCATTATTAAGATTTAGTATGTCCTAATTTGATTGATAAAAAGTCAAAATAATATTATAATTTTGACTTTTTGACATAATTTCAACTTTTGAAATTCATAATTTTGACAGTCATAATTTATTTAAAAAGTAAAAAATGTCGATCTCATAATTATGACTTAGGATGTCATCATTTTGATTTAATTTGTCATAGTTTCAACTTGAGTTATAGCCTTTCCCTGCACACACACACACACACACAGCATCAGAACTGCAGGATCTTGAGCCGTACCTTCGGACAGTCTGGGTTCCTGGCGGTCTGGATCAGCAGATCCGAGCCGATCTTCTCCCTGTGCAGAGGCAGAACTCTGAGACACACTCGGACTGGGACATTATTACAGATATAAGATCATCTGATGGTTCTGAGACTCACTTGAGCACTTTCTCCCAGATCTGGCTGTCGTAGAAGGCGTGACTCCAGCTCATCTTCACGGTTCCCACGATCACGTTCTGCTTGAAGACGTCAGAGCTCAGCGTCCGGTAGAGTTCCTCACACTCCTCTAGAGGCAGCTGCAGCACACCCAGCATGAAGCCTAATATCGCACCTGAACACACACACACACACTTGTCAAATAAGTAGGTACAAACACACATTTACTCACTCACTCTCACACACACACACCTGTACTGACGCCACAGATGTAGTCGAACAGCTGGTGAATGGGTTTCCCCGTCAGCTCCTGCAACCGGCGCAGCGTCTGAAGAGCCAGCAGACCCCTGCCACACACACACACACACACACAGAGAGTGAGGTCAGCATGTGTGGACGGTCTCAGCACAGCGGCGGGAGCGTTCGGGTCACCTGGTTCCGCCGCCGTCGATGGCCAGGATCCGGACTCCACGGTTCCTCACGGGCTGGACGAAGCCCAGCAGAGCCAGAGCCAGCCGGAGCGGGGCCTTCAGAGAGCCGTCAGCGGCCCGGAGCAGACGCAGCAGAACCGGCACCGCCTGCTCCTGGACCACACACACACACACACACACACTGATGAACAGCTGCAGCTGCAGTGACTCAATGTTCATGTTTCCACAACAACAGAAAATTCGAATACGTTTGTAAATTATAATTATGAAATAGAAAGTCTCTGATTTGGCATGTCACAATTTCAAATGTATTGTTAATTTTGACGTCATAAATATAATATAAAAAGTAAAAATAAAAAACTTCTTAATATGTCAAAAAAAAAATTGTGTCATAATTTCAACTTTTTCATCTTATAATTGAGTTTGTCAATTTCAATTTTAATGTCAGGTTCAACTTCTCATAGTTATGATTTATTATGTTATACTTTTAACTTTTTGTTCTAATAGTTCTGACTTAGTAAGTCTGTAACAAGGAGAATTGGGTACTGCGCCTTTAAGATAGAGCGCACTCTGTTACTCGCTTACTCGGAGAGGGCGGACGAGATGAGAAGCACCTTGTATTTCAGCCCGTTTTGTATTTCTGTTGCTCTTAATCTGCCTTTTTATTTTTCTATTTAGTAATGCAATTGTTGTTAGCGGTGCATTTAGCGGATCGACGACGATGTTGATAATAAATCACTGTGGAATATCAGTTACGTCCTGTGAGTCTTTTACACCAGATTGCAACCAGTTAGGCCAGCTATCCGGCCCCTGTGAAACGATTAATCGCATCCAAAATAAAAGTTTGTGTTTACATAATATATGTGTGTGTAGTGTGTATAATTATTTTGTATATATAAATACACACACATGCATGTATATATTTAAGAAAAATGTGTTATTAATATATCAAATATTTATATTTATGTATAATATTAATTTTGTATAAATATATATAAAGTATATACATGCAAATATATATATATATGCATGTGTGTGTATTTATATGTATGAAATAATTATACACACTACACACATATATTATGTAAACACAAACTTTTATTTTGGATGCGATTAATCGCGATTAATTGTTTCACAGCCCTAGTTACAAGTCAATTTTAGAACTTTAATTTTGACTTTAATTGATATTTAACTCAAGATTATGATGTGTCAATTTCAATAGTGTCTATTATGGATTTTTTATTTCAAAATAGTGCCATTATTTTGACTTAGTACGTCATACATCATCGTTTGTCTTTCTCGGCAGCCGCTGCACTGAGCGGGACAGGACTGACCTTGACGGCCGCGGCCCGCGTCTCCGGGAACTCCAGCAGATGCAGATTGAGCTCCTCCACCCGCCGGACACAGAGACCCGGCTCGTCCGACGCCCGCTGGAGGGCCTGAACCAGAGCCCGGGTCCGGTTATCCACACTCACCCGCGCCACGATCTGCAGAACACATCACACCAGGGTCAGAGGTCAATCTCTGAAGACATCAGAGTGGTGACAGGACATAACACCACCATCATTACACGTTTGTGTGTGTGTCCCTTTAAATGCAAATGAGCTTTAGCTCCGCCTCCGTCCAGAAGAGGGCGGGGCCTTCACACGAGCTTCAGAGACTCCGGCAATAACAGCACAGGCGGATCTGACTGATCCAGGATCAGGAGTAACAGCAGCTTTAGCTCCGCCTTACGGAGAGACTCACTGTTACACGTTTCTGAATGTTAGCGGAGACGTTTGTGTAGTTGTAGATATTAAAAACGAGCAGATTAAACCCGGCCTTATGTGTAATTCAGATGTTTGATTATGAGAGTCGTCACACACCTTCTCTCTCTGGATCCGCAGGCGTCGGGCTCTCTCCTCCTCATCGCTCCGCTCTCGGCTCTCGGACGCTCCGTCCGCTTTATCCGCCTCCGTCGACACTCTCCTGGCCTCCGAGCGGAAGCGGGGCACCAGCGGGCTGATGTAGGTCCCCACGAAGGCCTGTACGCTCGGCGCTGATGTCGTGATGTAGTTGCCGAGAGAGAACGGCGGGGTTTCCGGGCGCGAGGGCGGGGGCGGAGCGACGGCTCGATCAGGTTTAGTGACGCCTCTGAAGTAAGAGTTGATGTGGTGGGACAGGTAGTCGTAGGTCTCGCCCAGATGAGTGCTGAGAGACCACGGGTGGAACAGGGGTGTGGATTGAGAGGTGGGCGGGGCCTGAGGTGTAGTGGGCGGGGCTGCTTCATGTACTTGATTCTTAGTTGCAGGAGAAACACAAGAAGGTGGAGCCTGATCTGCAGTGGGTGTGGCCTTATGTGTGGAAGGCGTGGCTTGGAGTGCAATGGGTGTGACCTTGTATGTGGAGGGCGGAGCCTGGAGTGCTGTGGTCGGGCCCTTTTGTGTGGAAGGCGGGGTTTGGAGTGCAGTGGGCGGGGATGTTGCAGTCACTTCATGCTCCTGTTCTTGGATCTTAATTGCTTTAGGAGCAAGTTCGGAGGGTGAAGCCTGAGGTGCAGTGGGTGGGGCCTTGTGTGTGGAGGGCGGATCCTGAGTGACAGTGGGCGGGGCATTGTAGGTGGAGGGCGGAGCCTGAGGTGCAGTGGGCGGGGCTGTTTTGGTCACGCCGTGCTCTTTCTGTTCTTGAATCTTAGTTGGCGTAGCAGCAAGTGCAGGGGGTGGGGCTTCAGATGCAGTGGGCGGGGCATTGTGTGTATAGGGCGGAGTCTGGGGTGCAGAGGGCGGGGCCTGTAATAAAAGAGGCGGTGTTGAGTTCACTTTCACCGCTTTGAGTCGGGACAAAATCTCCGCTCGCGTCCCGCGCACTGCTTTCCGAAGCGAGTCCAGAGCGGCACGCAGACGGGACGAGCGACGCCTCAGATCCGCCGACTCCTGCCGCGGAGACGTGCTGAAGGCACAGGTGTTTGTGTGTGACCCGACCCGGCAGAACCAGAACCTCCTGAGCGGCGGTCTATAGAAGGGGTTCGTCCGCGGGGACCAGCAGAGGGCGACGGTCACACACCCCGGTCTGTGGCACACACAGTCCAGCAGCCACACCACAGTCATCCTCACGACTCTTCATCAGCGGAAGCTCACACACACTCAAAGCTGCAGCGTGGAATATTAAGGAGGATCTGTTGACAGAAATGCAATATCATGTTCGTAACTACGTTTTCAGTGGTGTAGAAAGACCTTACTTAGAATGATCCGTTATATTTTAATGATAATACATAATGATATCATAATAAAATTTGGATAAAATAACAAAACAAAAAAGGAAACACTGCTGAACTGCGACACAGACCATTTTAGCCCATTAAATTAAAAATAAAATGAATATTTTTTTAAATAAATCATGAAATTGCAGGCTATAATTTGTGTCCTAAGAAGTTTTTTATTTTTTATTTTCTTATTTAAAAAAGTTAAGGAAAGAGACAGAAAGGGGATTTTACTTTTGTGTACTTAAGCATTTTTTGATGTAGAAACGATATTTTATAATATTTGAAAATTCTAAATATAAGGCCATAAAAGGTCAAACTTTTTTATTTTTAATACATGGTAGAAATAAGCCACCATATATTTACCCTAATATCAAATCAACCCATTTAAGTACAATTTCATGACAGTTAGGCAAAGTGTTTATTAAAAATACTGAGATTATTATTGGAATAAACAGATACAACTATGGTGTGTAACTATTTAAATATCTGCATACTAAATCACACAAATGGGTAAATGTGTTTAATCATGAACATCTTAACCTGTCCATGTTCTAGAGTAGTTTAATCTTACTATAGTTTTCACTAGTATAGTTAATATAGCTATACTAAATTATGAATTTATGATTATGAATCTCCTTTAGTATGAAATAAAATAAAGGAATGACACCTCACTGTATTGTACAGTTTTACCAAGGCAACAACAATAATAATTAGTGAAAAACACTGTTTAGATTTGTGTTTGCTCTTAACAATATCTTAATATATGAAATGTATAATTGAGACAGTATTAATCTAATATCATGTCATTTCACATATCCTTCATAAACTAGAATTTGTCTGTTTATTAGAAGTTAACATGACATTCCATCTGTAATATATATAATAACACATTCATGTCTGTCCAAAACACATATTAGATGAGAGATGAGTCTGACTGTAAATATGGGGCTGTTGGACAGGGTCACGCGATAAACTGAAGTTATTCTGAAGAAACACTGAAATAACAACATACCTGTGGTGGGTTAAACGCTCATAACGAATGTTTGTTTGTCGGTTGTACTAGTATAAGTGTTACAGTTAGCTGGTTATGGTGTTTGCTGCTGTTTACGGGTCACTCGACACTGAGAACAACTGATAAACACAGAGCGACCCTCCGCGCGCACTTCCGCGATCAGTCACGTGCTACACAACAGAGCGTTTGATTGGTTGAGCTGTCAATCGTTTGCTGTAGGCCCAGATAAATATTAAGTGGACACTGAGTCGTGCGTTTCGCAATGAATTCTTGAATACATTGATTCAGTATAATGAGCTGAAATCATATCTGTGTGATATGGCGTAATAGAACATGATAAAATACATGACTGTCATGATGAACTCATGAATGACCAGCAGATGGAGCTGTTTCTCAAGAAAACACACAGATGATCACGTGACCTTCCTCCACGTTATTCATATGAATGAATTGTATGAATTATTATTCACTAAATGAATTGACAACCTGTCTGTTAATCTTCATTCTTCAACATGTTCACCAATAAACATTTTTGGATTGATCTATTTTTGGAGTTACCCTTTATTCACGACTATTGCATTGCTTTCCGTCATTTTGAATAATATTGAAGGTTATCTCATCTCAACTCGCATCAAAATATTCTGTGAGCTGCCCTGTGGAAAACACCACATGAGGGGTGTTCATGAGCATTTTCCACGTCAGCTTCTGGTCTTTACTATAATTACCATACAACTTTACTCCATAAAGTTCTAACAAAAACATCAACTACTAAAGTTATAATCTTCATTTGCACTTCGTGTGACTCCTTTTAAAAAAATATCACACACACACAACACAGCCATTTACTCCATGATGTCTATTTTTAAAGTCTTTTATTTTAAAACCATAAAGTTCAATAAACACAAGAGCAAACTAACATTGTTCAGATTGATGTTTTCCTAATCTGTGTTGAGCAGTTACCTGTGGGTCATGATCTGTTACACACACCCCTTTAAAACACAGCAAGTGAAAGTGAAACTGCACAATCGCTTTTGTAACTTACAGCGATCTAACAACTCCTGTTTCTTCCATGTGCATTTTCTGCTAAAACAGATCCAGAATGGTGTTTCAGGTCCTCATCAACTTTAATGACAAGAAGAATAAGCCTTTAGATGTGGCGGATTCATTAGAGGAGTTCGAGAAAACCACCATCCTAGAACTGAAGAAGAAATTCATTGAGAAGTTTGGAGTATATAGAGAATATGGTAGGTTTAATATTTATTAACTCTCCAGATAACACAGAGCAATGACAGTCTCTTCTTTTTCTTTTGGCATTAAGACAAAGAGTTAAATAACTGCACTAAATAATTAAATAAATTAGCAGTTATCTGTTCATAAACAGCATTTGTTGTTAAAGGGGTCTCTGTTTATGAATTATTTTGATATTCATGTGTCACATGTTATTTGAGCTGTTCATGTTAATGTTTTCTTTTCTCAGACCCAAATGATTTCCGTGTGATTTTTGGAACAGATCCACCGGAAGACCATCAGACACTTGGGTTTTATAAAATTAGACATTTGTCTGTTCTTTTGATTTTGATGAAAATGCCCGGAGGAGGAGGTATGACTTGACACTGAAACTTCATAAAGACATTAAATCATTGCTTATTGATTTAAAAGTGGGTTTGATGTTTTGTTTTGGATTTTATCATAAGCTAAATATTAAGAATCAGAAATTGTGTAATTTTATATCCAGTGCATGTCAAAGAAATGCCATCATTTATTATTCACACTCACACACATTTTTGAAGAATAATGCAGTCATGACTTGATTTTTAACTCATTAATAAATTGTCTCTCATAGGCCCAATCCCACCGGCACGATTTCCCAGATCTGAATCCATGGAAAGACTATATTACAGAACAATGAACAATCCAAACTCTGGAAAATCCAGTGACATGGATTAAAATCAAGAATCAGTGATTTGTAAACTCTCTTGAACCGTTATCTCACGGACAAAAGAACAAATTAATTGTATTTTTGTAAATATAAACACATTTTGATTTTGATGCTGCAACACTGCAAAAACATTAAAGAGGCAAAACAAGTTAAATAAGTTTATAATATCCAAGTTAAACTCTTTTGAATGGTCCACAATGATCAGTGAACTGGGATCATCAGGTGAGGGGGGGATTTAATATTCAACAACATTATTAGTGTATTTTTAATATTGTATTATTATTATTATTGGTCTGACTGTAATGACATCTCTGTTTTCTCCAGAACTGTACAGATAAACTAGAGTTCTGACCTGATTTCATCTCTGTTTTCTCCAGAGTTGGGGTGCGTTTCCCGAAAGCATCGTTAGCCAATGGTCGCAAGTTCTGTCGTTATCAGCATAGTTCGAAGAGTCGGCGTTTCCCGAAAGCATCGTTACAACGAACATTCGTAAACAGGAGAGCGTAGTTCGCTGGTTTAAAGTACGATGTTACGTTGAAGAAATCAACTAGCTAGTCGCGAGTCGCGACTGTTTCGCGAAACTAAATTGTCGCAAAGTATCGTTCAACCACGTTAGTTGCGCACGTGGTGGAGTAATAACTACTATTGATGAAACTGTTTGAGATCCAATTAACGCTAGATTTTTTTATATAAATTACAGACATGGCATCTGAGTTCCATTTCTAATTGTTCTCAGTTGTTTTGCTTTATTACCAGACTCAATATTTGTCTCGTTCTTACATAGCCTAGTAGAGCACGTTCGCACATGCGCACTCTTCAAACACGGTACTTTAAATCTTTTGAAAAATTAAAAGACGTAAATTACATTTGTATGTATTCTAAATAAACGGCACCGGTTGTACTAAATGTCAGCTTGCTTATTTTACTCTAGATAAGGATTTATTACGTCCAAATGTGATGCAATAGGCCTATAGAATCTAATAATGCATGATAGAGGGACTTTAGTCGAAGCTTAATTTAATTGCTTGTAATTTTGAACACTTACTGTGTTACCTGTTCTGGCCCGAATTATTAAATTCATCACATAAATGTTTTTCTTGTGTCTCAGTTTTTCTGCTGCTCAGTTCTGATATTTGTAGAGCCTTTAAGTAACAGATAAATTCTCAATATATAATATTTGCTCTTTCAATTTAACCTGAGGTGTCATTCTTCTCTTCATTGCTGTTCTATTGCAAACCAAATGTACAGTGAAACTTAAAAATAAATAAATAAATAAATAAATTGACCTGCTCCATTAGTCTGAGGCGTGATTATGACTGCAGAAATCATCTGATATCTGGTCTGTACCCAGATACAGGACTGGCAACATTTTGATCCATCAAAAAATAGTCACTGAAACAGTTTCCCAAACACATCGTGAACTAAAAGCCCTTGAACTGATCCAATGATTATTCGGTGATGCTTGAACGTGTGTTGTGTGAGTCTCAGCAGCAGATGTCGGTGTTTCTCTTCCTCAGACAGACAGAGCTGCAGGATTACACACACACAGCACATAAAGATGAAGACATTCGTGACCCTGGATCACAAAACCAGTCACAAGTCGCACGAGTATATTTGGGGCAATAGCCAACAATACGTTGTATGGGTCAAAATGATCGATTTTTCTTTTATGCCAAAAATCATTACGATATTGAGTAAAGATCATGTTCAAGGAAGATATTTTGTAAATTTCCTACCGTAAATATATAAGTCCAATCTTCAAACAAGCGCTAGCTATGCAGATTTAACGGAGTTCACCGAAAGCAACATGAGCTGCATTTTATTGATCACTGATCAGCAGCTAATTTCAAAATCAAAGACCGCACTGAGAGACAGCATAAGATCATTTTGTTTCTTTACTTTTACCTGAGATGATTTTGTGTTAAGAGTCTGTGACTTACACTTTGATTTACGATAGTTTGCAAGTTGGCTTTATGTATAGATGCTCAGCTGCGGTGATGTTGCCATAGCTTCGTCATATAATGAATACATACAGGCTAACACGCTCTCACACGTTTTTCCCCCCAGCATTTTCGGGAGAAGTCCAGTTTACATATGTGCGGTTTCAAATTTAAAATCCGTCTCGAATGAGTTTCGGAGGGCATTTAGCCTAACACACCTGGTCTTTTCACGATGCGTCAGGCTTTTATGCTACTTTCGTTTTTAATAGTGCCAAGTTAAAGTATTTCCAAATACACTTATGTAGCCTACCAATGCAATGCTGCTGTCCTGCTGTAATGACCCTCTGGTCTCTTCATTTGTTGTCGTCTGCAACGCCGCCGCACCGTATCAAAATTAGCGCAATCATAGTGTCACATGATCAACGCGACTAGTCGACGTCAAACTTAAAGCGTCACGGCATAGACCTTATTCAGAGCATCGCCATGACAGGTATGAAAGTGAGGCTGTGAGGGATACACTTACCGTGTTTCCAACGGCATCCGCTGTAAAAAGCTGAATAAAGCGGCTAGATTACTTACAATTTTACACAGCTTACATTGTCGGGAGTTTTTTGTCAACTGACATTTCTTGGAAAGATATTTTCCCAGTGTTTCATGAGCAGAACAATCCGAAAACACATTAAATAACAGTACAGCCCATTGAAGAGATGCAAGTCTATCCCTCACAGCCTCGCTTTCATTCTCATTTAAAATCAAAGATGGCGCTGCCGTGAATAAGTCGTATTGCATTAAGGTCGACTAGTCGACTAATCGACTTTCGGGAGAAGTCCGAGTATATTTGTGGCAATAGCTAACGGAGACTAGTCGGTTCCCCTCGTGTGTGTGTGTGTGTGTGTGTGTGTGTGTGTGTGTGTGTGTGTGTGTGTGATTCCCAGAAGAGAAAACAGTGAAAGCGATGACAGATTCTTCACTTCTGCTTGAACTCTTGCTGTAAAGCAGCTGCTGTATCGCTTTATTCAGTGTATTCATGATGAGTGGATGATGAACACATCAGATAATCTGCCAAGATAATGTGGCGTCCGGCTTCACGGAGGAGAGCCATTAACACACACTTCAATTAGCATATCAAAGATCATCTGCTCCATAAATATATGAAGTGACATCGCCAGACTCATTATACCGACGGGCCTATTAAAGATGCGAGTGTGTAATGAGAGGAGTGTGTGTCTCGGGAGCCCTGCGGTCATCGTGATGAACAGAGGAAGAGGAGGAGGAGTGGCGTCATCTGATGATATTTCTGATGTTGATGCGCTGTCACCGAATCGCTTTAACTACACCTCACCGACTCGGACACAGCGATGCACACGTGATCCCGATGGACGTGAGTGGAGTGATGGTGAAGATGATGATGATGAACTGGAGATGAACACATTAACCTTCATTTCATAATGTGTTTTTGAGCCTCTGAATTATTAAAACTACCAAATGGATGGAGTCCGGATTACTGTAGATTTAGATTTTTGTGGAAGTGCTTTTTTCAAAATATGTTTCAAAATTGAACTTCAATTGAATGGAAGCAAAACATTTTTTAGTAAATAGGTGAATTCAAAGTTCAAATGTAAAAATTTTGAAAAAAATGTATTGTGCAAAAGAAAAACTTAAGTGGATTAATTCAAAGTTAAAAATTTTACTGGATGAAATCAAAACATTAATAAATTAATGGGCTAATGCAAAGTTCAAATTTAAAAAATGTAAATATTATTTTACAAAGGCAAAACTTAAGTGAACAAATGCATTGTTTATTTTCTTGACTAATAATCATATTTTCATCAAAATCTTGTTACTGTAATGCACACACACACAAATTATAATTCTCAATAAAATGTATGAATGTTGCGTTGTGACTTTTTAATTAATTTATTTTTTGTCTTTTCTGAGAACACTCAAAGGTTAATGCAAGACTAGAAACAGGAACTAAATGTTGTGTTTCTGGAAGAGCGAGTGTGTGCTAGATGAACACCAGAAGCTTTGAAGAAAAGATTTATTCAGTGTCAAACTTTCACAATGACCACACATTCAGCTGGCCAAGAGAGACGACTACAGTTACTCGAGTCAGACTACACAAGTACAGAAATATACAATTCCAATATACAACCGAATGAATAGAAATAAACAGACATACGAAAAACTGCATCCACTGAAACTGGTTCCGTATACAGACTCCTGTGTGAAACGAATCTGAAAAAGCTCTAGAAATGCATTAAACTTGAATTAAACCGAGTCCTCTGAGCAGGACTAGATCATAAAACCTCACAGTACTGTTTAGGAAGCATTATAACCAGAGGAAGCGTGTGTGTGTGTGTGTGTGTGTGTGTGTGTGTAGATGTACGCTGGTATGTTTGGTTGAACCAGTACCTCTCATCCGACAAATCATAATCCAGACACTTTTAAGGAAAAACTACATCGCCAACAGTTTCCTTGTACTCTGATCACCAATAAACCTGTCACGTTGCTGGTCATATAATCACGATTGGGCAGCTGAAGTGAAAACTAACTTCTGTAATGTTGGCTGGTTTGATGGACTTCAGGAAACGTGTGTGTGTGTGTGTGTGTGTGTGAGGTAGAGCTGGTTTGGTGCAGATAGTTGAAAAATCAAACAATAAAAATCCCACAACATCTGAGAAACAGACTCAGCAAGGCTGATTAAAGGCAGGAGATTGCACAATAATTCACATTTTGCTGAAATGTAAACATTATTTGAAAAATACTTCAGATCATGTGAGGAAAAACAAATAAATAAAATATGGGAATATTTCACTTAAAATTAAATACATTTTCCCCCTGATGTTGTCACAAACCTGAAAGCTGATGCGTCAGGGTTCACATCATTGGTCAGATGTCGTTAATGTCAAAGCTGATGCGATGCTTCTTTATGGAAAACAGGAAGAGAGACACTTTAATAATTAACTTCTTTCATCCATGTGAGAAAGTTAAAAAGGGACTTGGGAAAAATATGAGATGAAAGAAAATATTTATATATATCTTAATGCATTTGTGTTCACTTGGAAAATTTTGCATCTCAACAAATGTTGCAAAAGTTTTGCTTTTTTTCGAGCAAACAGTAAGTTATTATTTTAAAACAAAATAAAAATGTATCATTCAAAAGCAAAACTTCAGTGAGCAAACGAGCTCAATGCTCATGCAAAGTTAAAAATATATATTACTGGATGAAAGCAAACTTTAGGAAGTTAATGGGTGAATGCAAAGTTCAAAAACAAAATTTTATAATATTACATTTTATTTTTCAAATATTTTTAGAACGAAAGCAAAACTTTAGTGAGCAAACGGGCAAATGAAAATTTAAAAAAAAAAATAGACTAAAGCAAAACTTTTGTAAGCAAATGAATGCACTGTTAAAAAAAATTGACAATTTGACAAGTGGACGAAAGCAAAACTTAAGTAAGGTAATGGGTCGAATATCTTTACATTTTCATGTTCAAAATGTTCCAAAAAAATGGACGGAAGCAAAACTTCAGTGAGCAAACAGGCTAACGCAAAGTTTAAATTAAAAATGTAAAAAAAAATATGTGAATGAAATTTTGAAAAGTTTCTCAAACTATTGTGAGCAAAAACAAAAAAATGAAATATATTTTCCTCCAATATCATGTTTTTTCCACCCATCCAACTAGAAAGGCATACAGGTTTGTGTTGAATATGTGACTTATGACAACAATCTTTGAGTGAAATATTCCCTTAGGTACCTTCCTTCAAATATTACAGTAACAAAAAAATGCAATGAAACTTGTTTAACTGCTTAGAAAACATTAACAAAGTGTGAAAAATATTCATCTGGTCTCTTCTCATAAAAATTGCCACATTGAACGAGGCAAATGTAGATCGTACCACATGGGTAAAGTCTGAGGATCTATACAGTTGTAACGGACAGGAAGGCGTTATGCACTTTGGATCCTTCCGCCGCTTTCTCCCCGTGCGTCATCAACTCCTGAATGGTCATCCAGTTGTCCAGAATTTTCTTGTTCCGCTTCTTCATCATCTTGCGCTGGCTGAGCTGGATGATGCTCACCTCCCCGGCGCCGAGTGGACTGTCCAGCCGGCTCCGCTGCATGAACTCCCTCCGCCGCCGCTGCTCTTTAGCCCGTAGCAGATGCTGCTTACGCTCCTCTTTGCTCCAGTAGCGGCCCATCTTCATCTCGCTCATGGCGTCGTCATCGGTCGTCATCCCGCCGCTGCGCTCCTCCTTGATTTTAAGGGCTCGCTCCCGGAGTAGACGATCTCGGACTGGACGTTTGGTGATGTATCTAGTTCCGTCGCTCCTGACTTTCACTTTCCACTCCATTTTGGGTTCGGACGGCTGGACGACTTGCGGATCGCTCATGCCTAGCAGACCGTGTGCTAACTCCATGTAGCTCTGGTAGTGTCGCGCATCTGACGCTCTTGATAAAGCGGCAATTCGAGTCCTCAAAGATCGCTCGTCTTCCGCGGGAGACTCCGACGGGTTGCTGTGATCGGGACTGACGGATGATCCACGGAGGTTCCTATGATTAGTGAGGCTGACTATCCTGTGGTCGGGCGAGCGGTCCATCGCTAGCGGCGTGCTACGCGAGCTCTCCGCCGTGTTGTACGCGCTCGAACTGTCTTTGTCCGACTTCTCCGGGTGCTCGCTGATGTCCGCGAGCTTCGTCCCCGGTTCTTTGCGGTGATGCGCCCGCATGATGTTCTGGCACTCGATCTCGATGCTGCGCAGCTCCTCGTTGAGCATGCGGAGCTCGCGCTGGACGCCGCTACACTCGATGGTGCTGCTGCGCGAGTAGAAGAGGTCGAACTCGCCGCTGTTGCGGATCTGACACTTGAGCTCCAGCAGCTGCTGATATCGGTCTCCTTCGGGAAGCTCCTTCTCCTCCCGCAGACACCGCGACAGTCTCTTCTGGATCTGAGCGAGCACCTTCTTCTCCGGACCGTCGGCAGGACTGATCTTCTGCTGGTTGTAAGAGCAGGACGCTGTGATGTTTTCTTCTGAAGCTCCTCTGGCCTGCAGGGAAAAAAAAATCTTTATTATGAGATGATTCTCTAGTAAATGAATCTTGATTTAAGAGTTTCTCTCACCTCGGCTGGGTTCCTCTCCTCCTCCTCTTCTCTCCTCTGCTCCTCCAGCATCTCCATCTTCAGCTCCTCGAGGAACTCGCTGTGCTCGTCGTCCAGCCACGGCTCCTCCTGAAACACACACCTCACGAGGGTCAATCTCATCGCGGATGCCACTCCAAAGACGTCTGGGTTGATTCAGCCTCAAACCTGGACTCGTGTTGAGTTTAGGGGTTTGTTTGCTGTTGTAACTGTGATTTATAAAAGTGCTTCTAAACTAAAGACGAGTGTTGCAGATTAGCTTTAGCTGCTAGCACTGTAATGCACAGATTAAACATCAAATACATAAATACAAATCTGAGAAGTTTCATTCTGCGTAAAGAAAATTACTATTACAGCGCGTTGTGACATCATGTGATGATATTAGCTTTAAGTCTGTGTGATTTCAACTTTACCTGAACAATTATTTATAAACCGCTGAAAAAATGAAGTTCTAATCGAAACGTTCTTAAATCAAGATGCGTTTACTGTCTGGAGACACGAAATAACCTGAAACGTGACGCTTACATTTACTCTTCAATCAAGAACAAATCTCAGTCGGAGGGGTCAGGAAAATCATTTAGTTCACAGGAAAACAAGTGTGTTCTTCGACATTGGCGGATATTTGTTCTTGATTTAAGAAAAAAAAACATTTTGATTTTAATATCTTCAGTGATTGTTCTTCTCCAGTCTTGATTTAAGAATCGTGAGATATTTGTGCTGGAAAATGAGACGAAGAACATCATGAGTGTAGATCAAGATCAAGTGTAGACAGAAGGATTTTTGGTCCTGTTTAACAAAAAATGACGTGTATTAAAATTAAGCACATTTCACACAAAATTCTCATTTTTAAATTTGAAATTCATTCCATAGAAATTTTTTTTTGCAAAAGGGCAACGGTCTTAAAAATAGTCTCCATCTCTGTCTTCTGAAATGAAATATGAGCTGGCCATTTCTTCATTAAACTCACTCAGGTGTTCATCGTGCTTTTACGGCTCTGGAGTGAGAAACGCATTACGTCTGTGTCACATTTTATGACGTCTGCATCACACACACATTATTGAGGTAATGGTCAGATCAGTGCTGTGTAATGAACCACAACACACACACAGCCTCAACCGTCATACATTCATCATGTGTTTAATTACAGCCAATAATGTTCACATGAGCTGTCTGGACACACACACACACACACACACACACACACACACTCGTGTTTCACGAACGATAACAACATGCTGTTGGTTTTTATAGGCTTCTGTTGGACGTCGATTACACATGAAAACCAAACATGTTGACGTCTGACCATCTGAATCACACTAAATCAAAGTACACAAATGTGAGTGTGTATTACAGGAGGGAGTTATGCAAGGAAATATAGAGCAAATTGTGATTTCGGGAAGTTTGGTAACACTTCACAATAAGGTCTCAATAGTTGACTTTAGTACATAAGCCTTGCAGATGAGACTTATAACTGTGTGTGTGTGTGTGTGTGTGTGTGTGTACCTGCATTTCCGGCCTGGCGACCAGCAGAACGATATTCCTGCTTTCTTCATTAGTGAGAACGGCCACAGCTTCCTCTCTGTCCTGAACGTCCCGCCCATTGATCTGTCAATCACACACACCAGCCAATGAGAAGCAGCGTATAGTAATTCATAAAAACGCACTGCAAAAAATGTTTTTCTCATTTTCCAGCACAAGTATCTAAACCTCTTCTGGAAAATATTTAAAAATTAAGCAAGAACAAATATAATTAAAATAATAATTAAAATAAGAACAAATACAGTAGTGGCCAAAAGTGATAAAGCAAACATTTTCACTTATTAATATCTCTAGTTTGCATGCGTTCATCATTTCTTTGAATGAATGACAGCCTTGACCAAAATTATGTCACATGTTTTATCGTATTATTATCATCACAAACAAAACTACGCAATATGATTACAAAATCTTTCAGATGTTTTTTAATAATATTTGAGTATAGGGTCCTAGGTCGGATGGTACTTTTGGCCACTACTGTGTAGTGTAGTGAAAAATAATGTGATAGATATTGACATTGACAGATATTTGTTCTTGTTTTAAGCAAAACTCACTTCATTATTTAATAAACCAGATGTAATATCTTCAGTCAGTAACTGTCTCTCAATGTTTCGTCTGGAAAGCAAGACAGAAACACTGAGGACGAGCTACATGTACTCTCTCTCACTGCAGTCTATTTGGTTTAGTGATTAGCCGCTAGCGACGCAGAAACGCCATGTTTCTTCCTGAAGCTCGAGAGTTTGATGATGACTGTATTAGGAAACACCTCCAGCATGTTTTCCTGAGCGACAACTACAAATACGTTCCATCAGAGTAACGACCCCGACGGGACCCTGCTTTCCTCCAGGTCCTGTAGCCGAGGCTCATCAGGAGCTCGTTCTGAGGGCTAATGTGCCGCTGCTAGCGATTAATGAGCCGCTCGGGGCCACACTAGCGATGGCCATTTCAAAACACTGCTTCATGAAGCTTCCAAACCTTTACGAATCTTTTGCTCTGAATCAGTGGTTTGGAGAGTGAATCACACCGCCAGAGTCACTTGACTTCAGTAACGAGGCTTCATTACGGCACAATCGCCCTGAAACACTTCGAAATATCAATGTTTCACCGCTGGGGGCAACGATCTGTGAACCCATGATCATGAGGAGGCGCTGAGAACCAGTGCATTTCAGGCGGCCAAACGCTGCAGCCGTGTGAACGAACAGCCAAACGCCGTTGCCGTATGAACGAACAGCCAAACGGCGCTGCCGTGTAAACGAATAGCCAAACGGCGCTGCCGTGTAAACGAATAGCCAAACACCGCTGCCGTGTGAACGAACAGCCAAACGCCGTTGCCGTATGAACGAACAGCCAAACGGCGCTGCCGTGTAAACGAATAGCCAAACACCGCTGCCGTGTAAACGAACAGCTAAACGCCGCTGCTGTGTAAACGAACAGCTAAACGCCGCTGCCGTGTAAACGAACAGCTAAACACCGCTGCCGTGTGAACGAACAGCCAAACGCCGTTGCCGTATGAACGAACAGCCAAACGGCGCTGCCGTGTAAACGAATAGCCAAACGGCGCTGCCGTGTAAACGAATAGCCAAACACCGCTGCCGTGTGAACGAACAGCCAAACGGCGTTGCCGTATGAACGAACAGCCAAACGGCGCTGCCGTGTAAACGAATAGCCAAACACCGCTGCCGTGTAAACGAACAGCTAAACGCCGCTGCTGTGTAAACGAACAGCTAAACGCCGCTGCCGTGTAAACGAACAGCTAAACACCGCTGCCGTGTGAACGAACAGCCAAACGCCGTTGCCGTATGAACGAACAGCCAAACGGCGCTGCCGTGTAAACGAATAGCCAAACACCGCTGCCGTGTAAACGAACAGCTAAACGCCGCTGCTGTGTAAACGAACAGCTAAACGCCGCTGCTGTGTAAACGAACAGCTAAACGCCGCTGCCGTGTAAATGAACAGCTAAACGCCGCTGCCGTGTAAACGAACAGCGAAACACCGCTCCTGTGTGAACGAACAGCTAAACACCGCTGCCGTGTAAATGAACAGCTAAACGCCGCTGCCGTGTGAACGAACAGCGAAACACCGCTCCTGTGTGAACGAACAGCTAAACACCGCTGCCGTGTAAATGAACAGCTAAACGCCGCTGCCGTGTAAACGAACAGCGAAACACCGCTCCTGTGTGAACGAACAGCTAAACACCGCTGCCGTGTGAATGAACAGCTAAACACCGCTGCTGTGTAAACGAACAGCCAAACACCGCTGCTGTGTAAACGAATAGCCAAACACCGCTGCTGTGTAAACGAACAGCTAAACGCCGCTGCTGTGTAAACGAACAGCTAAACGCCGCTGCCGTGTAAATGAACAGCTAAACGCCGCTGCCGTGTAAACGAACAGCGAAACACCGCTCCTGTGTGAACGAACAGCTAAACACCGCTGCCGTGTAAATGAACAGCTAAACGCCGCTGCCGTGTGAACGAACAGCGAAACACCGCTCCTGTGTGAACGAACAGCTAAACACCGCTGCCGTGTAAATGAACAGCTAAACGCCGCTGCCGTGTAAACGAACAGCGAAACACCGCTCCTGTGTGAACGAACAGCTAAACACCGCTGCCGTGTGAATGAACAGCTAAACACCGCTGCTGTGTAAACGAACAGCCAAACACCGCTGCTGTGTAAACGAATAGCCAAACACCGCTGCTGTGTAAACGAACAGCTAAACGCCGCTGCCGCGTAAACGAACAGCCAAACACCGCTGCTGTGTAAACGAACAGCTAAACGCCGCTGCCGTGTAAACGAATAGCCAAACACCGCTGCTGTGTAAATGAACAGCCAAAGGGCGCTGTCGTGTAAACGAACAGCCAAACGCCGCTGCCGTGTGAATGAACAGCCAAACACAACTGCCGCGTAAACGAACAGCCAAACGCCGCAGCCGCGTGAACGAACAGCCAAAAGCCAAGTGAACGAACAACCAAATGCCGCTGCCGCGTAAACGAACAGCCAAACGGCACGTGAACGAACAACCAAACACCGCTGCCGCGTGAACGAACAACCAAAAAGGCACTGCCACGTAAACGAACAGCCAAACGGCGCTGCCGCGTAAACGAACATCCAAACGCCGCTGCCGCGTAAAAACGGACAGCCAAATGCCGCTGCCGCATAAACGAACAGCTAAAAAGTTTAATGTTTCTAGCTGAAACGGTGTTGTGTAAACAGACGCTAAGTGTTCTACGAAGCCTTGATCTGCCCGACACTATACGAGACGACGGCCCATGTACAGAAGCACAGGTGTTTAAGAGGTCAAAGGTCAAGTTACCTGTAGAATACGGTCTCCTTCTCGGATCCGACCGTCTCGGGCCGCGATGCTGTTCGGCTCGATCTGAGAACGACAGCAACAGTTTTCAGATTAGTGTCATTCAGGATTCTGCCCTGGATTATTAAAGTCAACTCAGCTTTATTTAGACTGCACACAGTGTTTTATTACAGCTTTACAGAGATAACAGGAGAATGATGCAACAAACGTTGTTTCTAGAAGAGAAAAGCGTCACAGTCCAGCTAAAGTAAGTTCAGTGATGGTTCATTTTTGGGGTAAGCAAGTTAATTTATATATACAGCCACTCTGGAGAAAATCATGATGTCATTGATATTATCAGAACATTCAGAATATTATTGGGTCTGATTGGCCGATGCTTTAAAACTCCAGCCAATCCCGTGCTCCTCTGTGACTGAGTGGAATGGAGTGCATCAGTGCCCGCCCAGTTTACACTCATGTAACCCCTCCGAGCGGGCCTCGAACCCGGGTCTCCGGCATGAGAGTCAGGCGCTCTATCAAGGAGGCTAAAGACTGCAGCCGCTGGCGTCTGTCGCTAGAGCGCCTATTGAGATCAGAGGAGTGAGGTTTACCTGCACAGGAACTACTAGCTGGCCTCCGTTACACTCATTTCCACAGTTTTTTTAAAAAGTGTTCATTGGAAATCAATCAGCAAAGGTGAAGCCCCTCTGATTGGTAGCATAGTCTGATCAGCATTATGGGTAATGTAGTTTTTCACCAGGAATTCTGCTGTTTAACACAACTCTTTGGTTTAAATAATGTGAATAATGTGTTGAACAGAAGCATATAACATTATATCTAGTATATCACAGCAGGGCTGTGTTTAATGATTAACTTTATACGATCAAAATCAATTCCTCTATGGAAGAAACGAGTGGAAGTTTTACTTCATTAACTCACAGTTGCTCTTTTATCACCCAATCAATGGCTGTCAGACTCCGTCCAATCACAGCGCAGAGTTTATCAGTCTTCATGACACGCGAGTTTCCCCCGATCACACTGTTCTGAGACACACACTGACGCTCAATCGAACTAATAGAATAAAGCACATGAATGAACGTGTGTTTCGCTCAGGTCTCATTACTCTGTTACAGCTTTTCTTTTTTCCGGCGTAACGAGTGTGTGTGTGTGTGTGTGTGTGTGTGTGTGTGTGCGCGCCGTGATGTTAATATCGCTGATGCCACGGCTCTCTGCTCTTCAATTTTATGGAGTGCAGATTTTAATAACCCTGTATAAGCGCTGGTGGATCTGTATTCACACACACACACACACACACACACACACACACACGCCGGTGAGACTGAATCTGAGACAACTTCTAATGAAGCCCAGAGCTCAACACACATCAGCTCCAATCACACACTAATGGACACACTAAGTAAAGTACCACATATGTGTGTGTGTGTGTGTGTGTGTGTGTGTGTGTGTGAGTGTGTGTTCTCATTCTTACCTCGCTGACATAGATGTCGATGTCCTCCTCCTCGTCTGTCCTGTAACACAGTGTGAGTCCGAGCTTCTCTCGACGGCTCATCCGACACAGTTCAACCTCCTGAACACACACACACACACACACACACAGCAGAAATACTCCTTCAGATAAACAATTTTCTCTCAGGAATTGCTACTAAAGTTCATGGTAGCAAAAATGTAATGAATATTAAATAATAAACAGAGTATCTTCTTCACCCTGTGAGTTTCCCGACTCGTCGAACATTAATCAGCGCTCCGAAGCCTCTTCTAGGAAATCAGGACGTTTACTATGCGCTGTTTTCACCAAAGCTAATGTTTATTTTGTAAATAAGTTTGTAATTATGTTAATGAGCATTCATTTATTCAGTCATTCAGGCGGTCGCTGTGAATCCCAACGATAGAGATGAAAAATTCATGTGCTGTTTCAGTGTGTGACGCTTGAGACGACGATACACCAACACAATCTCTTCATGGAGTCAGAGATCCAGAGCTTTTAAAGTTTTACTCGCATTAATACGAGCAACATGAGATATGTTATGAAGTATTACACTGGAAAATCCATCAAAATGAAGTGAGTTTAAAACAAGAACTAATATCAGCCAATGGAGACAGAAAAATAAACTTAAATCAATGATTTTTCAGACTCCATTGTTCTTGTTGGACTATTTTAACGATGTCTTTAATAACTTCTGGGCCGGCCAGTTTCGATCCGGCTCTCAGATTTAATCACAAATATCTTCATTTGTGTCCCGAAAGTCTCACGGGGTTGAAGAACATTACTGACAGAGTTTACACTTTAGGGTGAACTATCCCTTTAATAAACTCACTTCATTTTGATGATTTTCCAGAAAACAGGACTCGATATCCAATGATCCGAACGTTTAGATGTTTGTAGTGGAAAACCAGACAGAAATACTGAGTGTTTTTTGCGGTGCATTTCAGACACGCCAGGTGAAACACACACATACGCGCACGCTTGGGGTCACGCAGAGGTCATCTTTCATCCAGACGTCCAGCCACTGACTGATTACACGCCTCAGAGTCACGACACACAACCTCAGTCGAAGCCTGCGCTCTCAGTCCTGCACACACACACACACACACACACACACACACACACACACACACACACACACACACACACACACTCACTCCCTCACTCACTCACAAACACACAAACTCATAGACAAACATACAATCACACACACCGTAGAATTGATGTGATCTAACCCAGATTTACTGGATGAAAAAACAAGTTAATATATCACAGACGTATCACGCAGAACAGTAAACGCCCACTCAGAAGGCCTTAGCAACCAGTCAGGACACCATAGCAACACCCTGGCAACCACCCAGAATACAGCAACGGCATGGCTACTTCCTAAGGAACCACCTAGAACAACATATTAACTCCCTAGCAACCACCCAAAACACCATAGCAACTCCCTAGCAACTACCCAAAACACCATAGCAACTCCTTAGCAACTAGTAACTACCCAAAACACCATAGCAACTCGATAGCAACTACCCAAAACACCATAGCAACTCCCTAGCAACTACCCAAAACACCATAACACCATAGCAACTCCCTAGCAACTACCCAAAACACCATAGCAACTCCCTAGCAAACTAGTAACTACTTAAAACACCATAGCAACTCAATAGCAACTACCCAAAACACCATAGCAACTCCCTAGCAACTACCCAAAAAACCATAGCAACTCCCTAGCAACTACCCAAAACACCATAGCAACTCCCTAGCAACTACCCAAAACACCATAGCAACTCCCTAGCATCTAGTAACTACCCAAAACACCATAGCAACTCGATAGCAACTACCCAAAACTCCATAGCAACTCCCTAGCAACTACCCAAAACACCATAACACCATAGCAACTCCCTAGAAACTACCCAAAACACCATAGCAACTCCCTAGCAAACTAGTAACTACTTAAAACACCATAGCAACTCAATAGCAACTACCCAAAACACCATAGCAACTCCCTAGCAACTACCCAAAACACCATAGCAACTCCCTAGCAACTACCCAAAACACCATAGCAACTCCCTAGCAACTACCCAAAACACCATAGCAACTCCCTAGCAACTAGCAACTACCCAAAACACCATAGCAACTCGATAGCAACCACGAAGGACACAGCAACCCCAGCAATGCCTTGGTGACGACTAAACACACAGCAGCTTCTGCATGTGCAAACATCTCGTTCTTCATGAAATATGAACATCTTTGTCAAATTCTGCAACTATGTCATCTTTAAAATGTAAGAAAAGAACTATTTAATATCAAAGTACAGTGACGATCGGCATCAACTAAACGCAGTCAGAGTGAAGTCTCAGGAGTTTCTGTATGTGAGTAATGGGCGTCACTCCTGCGCACTGAGCTCTCTCTCTCTCTCTAGTTGACGGGTGTGTGTTAAGTGGCAGTAAGTCAGTCCTGCGTTCACTTCCCCGAGCTGAAATCACACGCGCAGGGACTGTAACCGCATTAGCGCTGGAGAATGAAGCGTGCACAACACAACACAGCGTAATATATTACATTTGCTCTGCGTTAATGGCTACAGACAGACAACACACACACACACACACACATCTCTCCAGGAGAACAGCACACGACCTCGACGACACGTTACAGATTTACATTCAGGACGCTTTTATCCAAAATGACTCGCTTTGCATTCAAGCTTTATCTCATATCGGTTCAAAACACAGCTAACTGAAACAAGCCTGCGTAAAGCCCTCCTGCTCCTTCCCACAATGCATCTGCCCTGAAATAAGTCGCCCGGAGTGTTTGAGGAGGCTGATGACATCATCTGTCAATCTGTCATCATCTGACGGTGATAAATGAAGCGGCTCGACAGGACAAACTCATCGAAAGCGGCGTTCGGATCGCAGACACACTCAGTGTTTCCTCTCGTTTCCAGCACTAGAAAAGGGTTGATGTGTGTATCGGTGTGTGTGTGTGTGCTCCATCGGTCAGTCTCAGACTCTGTTACGGGTTATTAATGACTTACCTCGTACTCGAACTCATCCGTCCTCTCGACGTCCGCCTCCATGTACTCGCTTCCCTCCAGGTATTCCTGATCCATCGTGTGCAGAGAGTGACAACTGTGGAGAACACACACACACACACACATCACAACTCTATCTCTACACAACAGCAGACAGCCATCGTGACCTCTCCGACTCTGACTAAAGAGGAGTTCACTTCAGATTGTATATTTCCTGATAGTTTACTCTCCTCACGTCATCCAAGATGATCATGTGTTTCTTCAGTTTTTGAGGAACACACTCCAGGGTTTCTCCATATAGTGTCTTCAATGGGGTCCAACGGGTCAAAGGTCAGAGCCTCAAAGTCTCGACACGATCCAGCCGAGGAATACGAGTCTGATCTAGACAAACCAGCGGACGCAATCACATCACATTATGCAATCAGGGTGAAAGGTCGCACTCGCACATGTTATTTTTTGTACATTTTTTACTCAATCTTTGCACATTCGCTCCGTAAACACTGGGTCGCTTCTTATGCCTATGTCACGCTTGACCTTTCACCCTGATGACGTAATGTGTCGCATCACAGCGAGAGCAAGACCAGCATTAGTGGTTAAAGTATATAAGTGTGTGTTTTGTTGTAAATGTCGCTGGTTTGTCTAGATCAGACTCTTATTCCTCGGCTGGATCGTGTTGAAGCTGAAACTCACATCTGACCTTCGACCCGTTGGACCCCATTTCCACAAAAGAAAGAGAGACATGAACATCTTGGAGGACGTGGAGGAGAGTAAATGATCAGGAAAGTTTAATTGTGAAGTGAACTCCTCCTTCAACACATTAATGTTAGTTTGTGGATCTTCAGCAGCTGCACCAGTAACATCATATACAATGTCTGATTGGTTCTGGTTTCCTCTGAGACGCATATAGAGAAGCACTGGAGGCTGCTGAAGAATGAGAGCAGAGATTGCAGATGTCAGCTGTCGCTTCTCTCTGTTATTCTTTATTCTGTGTGTGAACACAACAGCTGATCGTCCTTCATCAACACGTGACGCGTCTGTGTGCGTGTGTTTCAGATCTGCACACGGGGTTATGATCTGCTCTGTGACTCAGTGTGTGTGTGTGTGTGTGTGAAACAAGCTCAGCACTGACGCCAAACCATCTCATCTGATCTCTATCTCTCTCTCCATCTATCTGTCTATTTATTTAATAAATATGCTGAAATATAGCATCCAAATATGAATTTTATAGGTGACATTTCAAACATCTGGAAGTTTTACAAATCCATCCATCCGTCCATCACTTTATCCATCCATCCGTCCATCCATCCCCACATCCATCCATCCATCCATCCCCACATCCACAAATCCATCCATCACTTTATCCATCTATCCATCCACACATCCCCACATCATATATCCATCCATCCTTTTTTATTAAAAAAATTACAGTTATATGAATTTCTTTGAAATTAAAATTTTCAATTGCATTTCTGCATCCCGTCATTGGACTTGAATGAATTGAACTGAAATGTAAAAGGCCTGTAAAAGGCACAACCCCGGTGCGATGGTCTGATGAAATGGTCCCGGAAGTGGCGCTCAATGGTGAGCAGTCCGGATGAGACTGAAGTATACACTGGTTCACACACTCAAACAGCAACAACATCCACGAACACTTCCTGAACGGCTTTCTTTAGAAGGACAAAGGGATTAAAAATATCCAAATCAGCAGCACACGACTCTCCGAAGGGGGTTCAGGAACAAAACACGGATCTAGAGCGGGAGACAAATTTTAGACTATGAATTATCAATGGGCCATTGTGCATCATTAATTACCTCCCTAACACCCTCTCCGAGCCTCAGACGCTTTCAATTAACTTCCCAGCATCCCCTGCTCAGCTTGTTCTGCAGTTCTGCGTCTCCAGGGGACAAACCCAGATACTCTACATGCTAAACTTTATCTTGTTCCTGCTCTGGTTCTCCTGAGAGACCAACTCCACAACAAGAAAGAGAGAATCAGGAAAGATTTCGAGGAAACCCCATGATGCTTCTACAGGGGCGGTAGTTCGTTCTCGGGGAACCGCCCCCTGGTGGCTCTCATGTGCTCATGAACAAGTGTGTACCTGTCCGACAGGAGGAACGGGCAGATGTCCGGCACGGGTGGGGTTGCAGGACGGAGTTTGGCCAGAGCCATGATGTGCTCGAAGGTGATTTCCGTCTGCGTGCACACGTCCACCAGCTGGAGGTCCTGGCATGACCCCTGACCCCGGGGCAGAGGGGTCCGCCGGAGCACCTGCACCACGAGGGGATCTTTGGCGCTTCGGAAAGCTTCGACCGCCTCGTCATGGCTCGCTCTCGACAGATCCCTCCCGTTCACCTGAAACCGGCGAGAAACCATCATTTACACACTGATGATGTCATTGCAAACATATCCACTTTTAAACCAAGTGTCATTGTGGAGAAAAGAGCAGCGTGAACATCCTGCTAAACGTCTCCTCAGAAGACACACCTATTATGGACCCACCGATATCAACATTTTGACCAATAATACTTGAAAGCCGATAAACGATTTATTGGCTGATAAATCTAAATCCATATTACATCATTTTTGAGAGCCTGATTACAAAAACAAAAGTCTCATCATGTTCCAAGCACACAATTATAATAATGTCCTCATTATAATGTTATCTAGCCGATATGACAGGCTTTTGCACTTAACACTATTTTAATTTTTTGAAGTGATTCCAATCATATTTAAAGCAATTCAACGTTGAACAGTGCACATCTGAAGTGTCTCAGCTGAAGGAAATAATACATTATATATCGGTTTTAATATATCAGCCAAGTTTTTGAATCAGGCCGATAACGATAACATTTAAAATGAGCATATATATCGGCCGATACCGATATGGTGGCCAACATAATACCTATTTATGCATTTTGAATCACATACTAAAAATTTCATCCATTTGGATTACATAGACAAATATGCATCACATTAAATGTAGAAGTTTATTAATGCTAAAACTGTGCAATCCAAATGTATGATTCCTAAATCTAAACCTAATTATTTGCATTCATGTAACCATTGTTTACCGATTCCCACAAGCACGGACTGAATGAGTCCAGAACAACAGAGCGACTGCATGTCTATTCATCAGTAATCTGTAATTAAACTCTCGTGGAATGAATCGAGCAGATTGAGCCGCACAGGAAACTGATTGGCTATTAATGACACACATTATATCATCCGGCGGCCGCCGCTGAGAAACGTTTCAAAGCATCATTTAGATGTGATCTGGAGGGGTGTGCGTCTCTCAATCTGAAGTAAATCATACATGAGAGTGTCTGAACCCGTCACAGTGAAGAGCGATCAGGAGATTGGGTCCAGCTGATGGGAGTTTGATCTCGAGTACTGATTATATTCATGCATATTTTATTGGATTCATTTCACACTGACAGTTCAGAAATGAGTTTACAGCTCTGAAAATATCAACTTCTGAATCAACCAATGGGGTGAGTGGGGCGGGGCTATCAGACTGACTGACCAATGACAGATGGGGGCGTGCTCAGGAAACATGATTGAAAACAGTCATTGTTGAAATTAAATTAAATGAAGCACCATGATATATCGGTATCGGCTGATATATGTTCATTTTCTTGATATTGTTATCGGTCGGATACGATAATTTGCCTGATATTTTAAAACTGATAAATTAGAGATGCATCGATTTCAATTTTCTTGGCAGATTAAACTTTTTTTTTTAAGTGTGACCTGCCGATACCGATTTTTGCCGATAACCAATGGAGTGAGAGTGGGGCGGGGCTACCGGACTGACAGGAAACCTGATTGAAAACAGTCATTGTTGGTGCAGAAATGAAGCACTTCACCTTTAAATGCATACATTTATTACAATTTCAGACACAAAATTAAATATACAACCTAAATCCCCATGCAAACCGTATATATGTCAGAGAAAGCGCTCGGTAAAGCAGCTTTCTGAATAATAGAGCAATTACAAGCGTTCCTTTAACGCTATAAATTACCAATGAACGCGCACCGGCCGGCCGCTGAGACTGTTTCAATGCAGATGAGACGCTGTTCGACGTCATATGATATTGATGCTTTCATCAGGCTCACTGTTGGAGCGACTCGAGCGTGTGTTTGCTGCCTGAATGTGAATGAAGCGCACGTTTGTTCTGCATATGTACAGACGAGGAGAGGCTTCGTTTAGCGCAGTAATTGGCCCGCGGAGAGAACAATCATGATGAAGTAGTCCAGTGAATCTCACCATTTACAGTCGAATGCGGTCAAACCAACACAGCCGTATATACAGTACTTCCTGCGGCTCACGGATGATCAAGCACTGTGTGGATGGGAAACACCAGAAATAATATCATTCATTTACATTCAGAAAATAAATTATGATTATTTAGTCAAATGACACGCTGGCAGTTTCTGTTTTGGTGGAGGAAGTGAATCGTGGAGCAGAGAGGAGGGAAAACAAAGGCTGCTGGGTAGATAGATGATCTCACGACAGGCTGAGAGAAACGAGCAGATTTGAGGCGTTAGCGTACGCACGCGCGCCTCTTCTGACACTCCAAATGAAAAGAAACCAACGCTAAAAGAAAGAGGTGTTGGAGGAGTCTCCGCCGTATTGTTAAAATGAGAGCCAGATGGAGCAATTAATCCCAATTGAGGATATAAATAATAATTATTCCTGCCAAGGTTGAGCATCTGTTAGCTAGCCCGTTAGCATTAGCCACATTCAGACGAGAGGAGCAACACTTGCTAAACGCTCTGAAATTCAGTCTGAATTAGAATAGAATTGAAAGTAACAAAAATGCGGAATTGAATCATACATGAAATTAGTATACACAATACATCGGCCGATATCGCTTCATTTTAAATGTCATCGTTATCGGTCTGATGATAATATTTGGCCGATATATTTAAACTGATAAATAATGTACTTGTATTATTTCCTTTGGCTGAGACACTTCAGATGTGCGCTGTTCAACATTATGGTTTTAAATTTCTTGAAATATGATGAGAAAGAAAATAAATAGTATCTCGCAGTAATATCGGTTATCGGTATCGGCCAAAATGCTCATATCAGTGCATCCCCACATTAAATGATGTTCTACGGGAGGTTTCATCTGTAGACCTGCTTTATTTGTCTGGCTCCATATGGAAAATCTACATTTGGTTTAAATATTAAGATTTAATGTAAGATTGTTTATCCTGTAGTGTTTAAATCCTAATTACGAAGTGTCGTTTTTGTGTCTGTATTTCAGTCTGAGTGGTGAATGTGCCGGAGACGCTGGAGAACGAGTGTCTGGCTCTGTTTGCACAGGATCCACAGCAGCTGCGCTTGGACTCACTCCAGCCTCACACACACACACACACACACACACACTGAAAGCCACTTTGAACAAGCATCTCATAAATAAAGGAGACAAAGATCGTTTTGACGCCTGGTCTCTGAACCTCCGCTCTCGTTCTCCGTCTTCTCATCTTTCAAGTGCGTTTCAGGCTTTTAAATAACGCCGAACACTTGATAGTGAGTGCGTTAGTATCTCAACAATGAGCATCAAACTAAATCTGAACCCATCAAACTGATCTGAGACCTGCTTCACATAAAACAACTGGAAGAACCAAACAGACACACACTGAAGGAAGAGGCGGAGCCACAATACAGACCGGATGACCTCTGAGAGCCTGGACACAGCCATCAAAAACATATAACATAACATAACAAAAACGTATTTTAATTCAAGTTCTTCCAAGGAATAAAATGATAAAACATGTACAGTAAATGCAATGTTCCTTTGGATAAAAGCATCAGCCAAACTAATAATAATGTGTAATAATTTCTCCG